TTAGGATACAAAATCAACATATAAAAAATTAGTGGCATTTATATATGCCAAGAGTGAACAATCTGAAATAGAAATCAAGAAAGCAATCTCATTTACAATAGCTACAAAGAAGTATAGAATACTTAAGGTGATGGATATTCCAATTACCCTTACTTTACTATATGAATGCATCAAATTATTACATGTACACCAAAAATATGTGCATCTACTAAGTACCAATTTAAAAAAAGAAAATATGTGAAAAAATAATAAAAATAATACAACAATAAAAAAAAATTTTCTTAAACCATTCCAATGGCTTCCCTGTTACTCGAAGGTGTTTACACTGACTCTGAAGGCCTACATCAGTATTTATCAACCCTAGATACATATTAATATCAGCTGGGGTGCTTTTAAAATATACCAATGCCCAGGTCCCATCCTAAAAGATTCAGATTCAATAGTCTAGAGTGTAGGGTATTGACATTTACTGAATAAATGTGATTTTCAATAATATGCCCTGCCTTTCCAACCACAAGGGTGCCCATACAACCCTGGATAGCCAGAATGCCACAGTCTTCTGGTCTTAGTTTAGAATTGAGAGTATGATTGAAACCAAGTCATTTCCTGTACTTTTGTTGAGGTTATCTGGAAAAGTATATGGTTAATGTTGAACATCATATAAGCTTAGAGCTGCTGAAGGCCACCTTTGCCACTGTGTCAAAAAGTTTCCTTAACAATGAAATCATTGCAAAAAAAAAAAAAATAGATATTATTAGCACACTAGACCCCTATATGCTTAAAGATAAATCCATTCCTGGAACTTTGAATTATGTGCACCGTAAATTCCTTCTTCTTTTTTTTTTTTCTTGGTTTCGGTTTTTGTTTTGACTAAGGTAATTTGAGTTGGGTTTCTATCACTGGAAAAAAATAACTTTAATTACACTTATAAGCACATATTTAGTTTTTAAATCCTTTAAGATTTAAGTCTTTTACCACCATCAACCTTTAATTAGACAATAAGACCCAAAAGCACAGAGAATCTACTTTCCTCATACTTGTACCTATCACATTAATAGTACAATGTCCGATGTATAGCAGATACTGAAATATTTATTGACTGACCAAACGAGGTTTTTTTAACATACAAAAGTTCCCTTCATTTAGAAGTATTACTTAAGAAGGATTTTTGCTTTGGCTGAACAGACAGATTTTATGACTTTAAAGGTTTCTGTACCACTTTGATTTTATGAGAATCTATGATTTCTTTATGTCAGTGAGTTTCACTAGGAAGTCCCAGTTATCTCATTTCCCTATCTCCCCAGTTTGGTCCTTTCAACCGCCACTAATCAAGCATACTCCCAATCTCCCTTCCACAATAACACCCTCCTGAAATTTCTTTCAGGTCTTGCTCTATGATTAAGAAGATTCTACCTTTCACAGATGATCACATTCCCCATCTTCAATAGTGTCTCAAATCCAGAGTCCTATCTCTTATACATATTATTTTGTTAATTAATGGGCCTTGGAACCAATGCTATCTGAACATTCATTATTTTTCCCTTGTCATACTCTTGTCCATACACATTAACATAAGATGCTAATGCCCATTTACTTCAATCAGTTATGTCTATCCAATGGTAATGATTCATATACCTTTTAAAGGGTTGTGCAACTGACTGAAAAGCAATATTAAATGCTTATCTGTTTTAACTTACAAAGTCCTTGAGAGTAGACAAATGTCAATTTAAGTAAATTGCCCAATGCACAACAAAAAACGTGGCTAATAATGATGCTTAAATGTTTCCTAAATATATTTTTTCATATTTTTAGGCTAATATCAAATTCAGATGCCTGTCTTCTCTACAAAATCAGGTTGATGTTTTTTTATACACCACTCAAAACAAGCACCACCAAAATATCTTGCTTCACCATGATTTGTACAGGTATAAATCCAACATAGTACAATCCAGAGGAGAGTTATTGATAAATACTATTAATAGATGATCAGGGCATATCAGTTCAAATTGTTCTTTGAACTTTGTACTGACTTTCCATGTTTGGAACTTTGTAATGCAAAATTGCCACAGTTGATTTTAAAAAATACATAAAAAGCTGAACAACGTCTTTCCCAGTTTAAAGATAACATTTAAACATTCTATTAGTCTGATGTCATTAAAAAGAATCTCCTGAAAAATTCACCATTAGAAGCTGGGATTCTCTATAAATAACTGACTGTGCAAACTGGATCAATTACTTGTGGAATCTTTATGGCTCATAAGATCCCCTGAGGCGGTTTCAAGCAGCTAAATTCCTTGAACTGGCATGTCAAACAATAGGATTAGAAAAACAATGTACAAAATACAAATTTTTCTACATATACTCTATTTTTAGCTCAATATACTTAATGTGGTGCTTTCTTCTATGTTATACTAATATAATACATCTCTGGTACTTGAAACAAGGTATAGCTTCCTCTGTAGTAGAAATTTTTTAAGCAAAAACAACAACAACAACAACAACCCCCCCCCCAACATACACACCTTCTCAATGGCTTTTACCAAAGAAGTTCTCATTGAATAAAAGGCAGGCTCTGGAAAACAGCCCTTATGAAGGGTTATGGCATGAACTGACAAAACTCTGAACCAATATGTATGCATTTTATTCTCGTTAAAAAGAAAAGTAGGTTTTCAATTTTTGAAAGAAAAAAATAAGTTTTACTTATAAGTCATTCTTAGTCTTTAGAGAATGCTCTGGCCATTTTCTGTCTCTCAACTCAGAACTTCAACCTTTCAAATAATTTTTTTTAAAGGTTCAAACACTACAAAGCATCTGATTTAGTGAAAAGCACTTTAAATACCTCTCCAAGTACTCCCCACTGGATCAAAATGTCATAGAAATGTTGTAAACACTATCAGTCATGTTCCAGAGAACAATTTAAACAAACGTTGTTTTGCTCTTTTGTCTGGAAAAGTAATTTCTGAAGTGAAGAGTTCAAAACTTTTAGCCCTACATACTATGCAGTAAGAAAAAAAAAATACATCTTTTAAGCATCAGAAGCAGAATACACAATAGGCTTTGTCTTGTTAAACAAAAGAACATGCTTTTCTTTTCAATCACTTCCAGCTGTATGATCTGGCCCTCGTGGAATCAGAAATTAACAGCATATGGCATCTGGCTACCTGCACAGACTGCATATAAAATTTGAAGTCTTCAATAAGATTAACGGGTCTAGTGGTTGAAAGTGGAGGGGGAACCACCAAACACCATTTCTTATACAGAGGCAATAACCCTAACTAAAGAAGGCAAGAAAAATCATCCTTACTAATAAGATGTCAACTATATTCTTGTGAAGTGACTCAGATCACCAGATCTTTCTACCTCCTAGGCAACCAAGATACTATACTGCCTACCTGTTTTGGTTCTCAAAAAAGGAAGGAATTTCTACCAAACACCCAGAACAAAAATATTCTGAGTTAACTCACTTTATTACATACCAGAGTGATACTGTGTATCCAAATGAGCCAGAGAGAAGAAAACTCAAGTGACTATCATTCTTATCATAAATAAATTCTACTAAATATTAACATCAGAATGTCAAAATACATAGAATCCTGGACTAAGAGGTCTTCAATGGTCTTCCAAAATAAGCCTATTGCAGATAAAACATTAATTTACCTTTCTAATTAAGATCAGTGTACCAAATCTGCTAACTCTTAGAATATATTTCAGTGTTTCAGAATCTACACAGCCCTGAACTCTAACCTGATTTTCAGCTGGCGTAACAAAGAACTTCATTCCTATAGTAAGGATAGGGATGGGGTGAATGAGTGCAGGACAGTAAAGAATAACTATCATGAAATTTATAAGAAACAGCTGCTCAAAATAGTGAAGACTGATTTCTTTTCTCCCCCTCCCCAATTATTTCCTCTACAGCTTCATACACCTAACACCTTCAAATCTACCCTTCACACTTTTAGTCCTATTTATACTTTCATTTGGACCTTCTCTAAAATACTCTACATTGAACTTCAGTGGACCTGAAAGTCAAACTGTGCTATATTCTTTGACAGTTTACTTCATAATTTCTTGAGGAAAGAAAAAATATAATTTATTAACAAATATTATAGGTGGGCTTAAAGGAATTTCATCAAAAAGTTTAATTCTGCCCTCAAGTATTTTGATCTTATAAAAGAGTCTTCAACAGTGCCTAACATGAAGAGAGAGTAGGAAATACAAAAACATTCAGAGGCAGAATTAAAGTCTCTTACAGACATATAACTCAGAAAAGATGGACAAATAAAAAGATGGACAATCCATGAAAGAGTTAACTATTTTAGTATTTTTAAGGCATACATGGTCTAAGGACAATCAACTGCTAGAACTCCCAAATCAAAGGTTCTTTTAGTGACGATGGGGGTTGCTAAATTCCAGTAGAACTATCTAGATTAAAAAAAAAAAAAGGCAAAAACTTAAAAGAATAATAAATGTGTTTTCATCTCTCAGATTCTCTCTCTCCCCATAGTTCACACCAGGACCCGGACAGCCTGACAACATCAATGTATTGCACACCCTGAGGCACTAGGTCAAATGTAGGAATCTATCTATCACAGCTGCTAAGGTTTTATCTTCACTTGAAACTTCAGAAATGGAAATGCAATGTATCAACAGCTGTTCACACTTTCAATTTTTTCTTGCAAAGCTGGTCCTGAAATGTGGCTTGCTAAACATTTGTAGCACAATTACCAATTTCTGTTTCAATGCCTATAAATACTGCTGCCACTAGTATACAAATCTGATTTCACTGCCCAGTAGTGAAACAGCCTGGCTGGATTGGCACTTTAGGTCACTTTAGGAAGGAGATAGGGCTGCTTATTAAGCAATGGTAGCAGCCTGATAGCTGAAACACACACAATAGCAGTTTGTTTAAATTAGGAACATAGATATACTAACATATATGCATGCACACATCAAATTGGCATGCAATATGAATTCTTAATAAGTGTACTTCATTAAAATTTGCAAGGACCTACTACTGTTTTGTTACCTGATAGGCTTCATGAGATACAAAAAATACTAGCTCAAGACGCAATCTCTGAGTTCCATCGGTAGCGGGAGCGGAGAGCAGACCCCAGAGTGCCCTGTGCAGCCCCACCGCCGCTGCCGGCCTAGTTACCATCACACATCCGGAGGAGCCGCAGCTGCCGCAGCCGGCCCCAGTCACCATCACCGCAACCATGAGCAGCGAGGCCGAGACCCAGCAGCCCGCCCCGGCACTCAGCGCTGCCGACACCAAGCCTGGCACCTTGGGCAGCAGCGCAGGGAGCGGTGGCCCAGGCGGCCTTACTTTGGCGGCGGCGCCTGCTGGCAGGGACAAGAAGGTCATCACAATGAAGGTTTTGGGGACAGTAAAATGGTTCAATGTAAGAAACGGATATGGTTTCATCAACAGGAATGACACCAAGGAAGACGTATTTGTACACCAGACTGCCATAAAGAATAACCCCAGGAAGTACCTTCGCAGTGTAGGAGATGGAGAGACTGTGGAGTTTGATGTTGTTGAAGGAGAAAAGGGTGCGGAGGCAGCAAATGTTACAGGCCCTGGTGGAATTCCAGTTCAAGGCAGTAAGTATGCAGCAGACCGTAACCATTATAGACGCTATCCACGTCGCAGGGGTCCTCCACGCAATTACCAGCAGAATTATCAGAACAGTGAGAGTGGGGAAAAGAATGAGGGATCGGAGGGTGCTCCTGAAGGCCAGGCCCAACAACGCCGGCCCTACCGCAGGTGAAGGTTCCCACCTTACTACATGCGGAGACCCAATGGGCGTAGACCACAGTATTCCAACCCTCCTGTACAGGGAGAAGTGATGGAGGGTGCTGACAACCAGGGTGCAGGAGAACCAGGTAGACCACCAGTAAGACAGAATATGTATCGGGGTTATAGACCACGATTCCGCAGGGGCCCTCCTCGCCAAAGACAGCCCAGAGAGGACGGCAATGAAGAGGATAAAGAGAATCAAGGAGATGAGACTCAAGGTCAGCAGCCGCCTCAACGTCAGTACCGCTGCAACTTCAATTACTGAGGCAGACGCCCAGAAAACCCTAAACCACAAGATGGCAAAGAGACAAAAGCAGCCGATCCACCAGCTGAGAATTCGTCCGCTCCCGAGGCTGAGCAGGGCGGGGCTGAATAAATGCCGGCTTACCATCTCTACCATCGTCTGGTTTAGTCATCCAACAAGAAATGAATATGAAATTCCAGCAATAAGTAATGAAGAAAAGGCCAGGCGCGGTGGCTCACGCCTGTAATCCTAGCACTCCTGGAGGCCGAGCCGGGCAGATTGCTCGAGGTCAGGAGTTCGAAACCAGCCTGAGCAAGAGCGAGACCCCGTCTCTACTATAAATAGGAAGAAATTAATTGGCCAAGTAATACATATAGAAAAATTAGCCGGGCATGGTGGCACATGCCTGTAGTCCCAGCTACTCGGGAGGCTGAGGCAGGAGGATTGCCTGAGCCCAGGAGTTTGAGGTTGCTGTGAGCTAGGCTGACGCCATGGCACTCACTCTAGCCAGGGCAACAGAGTGAGACTCTGTCTCAAAAAAAAAAAAAAAAAGAAAAGAAATGAAGAAAAGATTGGAACTGAAGACCTTAAGTGCTTGCTTTTTGCCCATTGACCAGATAACTAGAACTATCTGCATTATCTCTGCAGCATGGGGTTTTTATTATTTTTACCTAAAGATGTCTTTTTTGGTAATAACAAACGTGTTTTTTAAAAAAAAAGCCTGGTTTTTCTCTATGCCTTTAAAGGTTTTTAAATTGTTTCATATCTGGTCAAGTTGAGATTTTTAAGAACTTCATTTTTAATTTGTAATAAAAGTTCACAAACTTGATGTTTTGAAAAAAGTCAACAAACTGCAAGCACCTGTTAATAAAGGTCTTAAATAATTAAAAAAAAAAGACGCAATCTCTTCTGTCGTCTAAAAGCAAACACACTAACAGGGTAACTCATAAAATTATTCTGGGTTATCAAGCTCTTTGAAACCTAACAAAATTTATGGACCCTTTCCCCAGAAATACATGCAAATACAAATAACATTGCATAGAATTTCAGAGGGTTAGTGTACCTCCTGGACCTAGTTATAATTATTCTTTCTGCCAAATTTCCTTTCTTCTCTCATTGACCATAAACTTTTAAAAAACATTATCTTAACAGATTACAACTAAGAGACCCACATTTTCTTTTGTTTATCTTTAAAATATATTCTTTTAAACTGGGAATCTAATGACATTTCCAATTTAAAAACTGGTAACTCCACGGGACTTCAGTGATGGCATAAAAGTTGTGAAATGAGTTGGGAAGAGGTGACAGAAAAAGTAAAATGTGCATTCATAATTGGAGAAGACATGCTGGAGAAGAAAGAAAAAAAGAACTAAAATATATTACATCTTTGAAGCTGATAAAAATGGCAACAGAAGATTTCAAAAGAGAAATGGAATATAATCAACACTTAGCTAGAGACAATGATTATGGTAGGACTAGCTATAGTGATCAGTCATAGGAAGGCGTGCAGTACAAAGATTAAGAGCACAGGCTCTGAACAGGTGAACCTGAATTGAATCCTAGACGAAAACAAACTTTTTCTTTTACAAAATTTGAATAAAGTTTATAGATTGGCTTAGAGTACTATATGAATATTAATTTCCTCATTTTGATAATGATTATGTAAGAGAATATCTTTTTTTTAGAAAGAAGTCATTGTGTCTACAACTAAAACTATGGAAAAAATAATGTGTATAATATAATAAAAGAAAGATAAAGCAAATATGGTAAAATGTTAACATTTGGGTAATTTATTAAAAAGTGTATATAGACTTGTTTGTGCTATTTCAGCAACTTTTCTATATTTCAAGAGAAAGGTTCTAAAAAAAACTCATAGGCTCTGGAGCATGCATGGCTGCCTTGGTTCAAATCCTGGCTCTGCCACTGAATTAGTTATGTAACCACAGGCAAGTACATTTTCAACCTCTCTTTGCCTGTTTTCTCATTTGTAAAAGGAGACAATAATAGTACTAGCTCAAGTTGTTGTAAAGAATAAAATGATAATCAGAGAATTTATGTAAAGTGTTTAGAACAGTGCCTGACAAATAAGTAGCACTCCAATCTTCATTATCATTGTTGTTATTCCTTTCCAAATATAACCCTTACTCCATTCCCATTTCACCGCACCATTCTATCTTTAGATCAGGTCAATTCTAGGGGGAAAAAAAGACAGAAGCAAGCAAACAACAGAAAAAGTCATGGTTCTTCATCTTTAGCTACAGGGTTAATGATCCTCAGTGTGGACTCCCTCTTTTAACCTATTCTCCGATTGCTGTCAGGGGTATCTTCGATCTTCTTACACACAATTCTTTATACATACAACTCTGATAAATGGATGCCTTCATTAAAACCTTCAATGTTAGCTTTAAGGTTAAAATTCCAATTTCTCTAATTAAGTAGATAAAGCCCATCATGATCTGGTGGCAGCATACCTCCTTATTATCATCTCTCAACACACTTCCACAAATGTACTCTTCACTCAGACCTCAAAAAGCTCATAGTCTTCTGAACACAAACCTCCAAGCCCTGAATATTCTCTCTGCCTATAACCTTTATTTATCTAGCCAATTCATATTCATCCTCAAAATTTAGTCTGATGAATTGCCTCTGAGAGCACACCAAAACATTGCCTCCAACACAGTATCAAAGGATAATCACTTATTAGTCTGCCATGCTTATTAGCTTCTAAGTCTTAAAGGCAAGAGTCTTACATGTCTTTTAAGTCTCTGAATCCCAAAACATAACTTGATATAGCACAGGCTTTCAATTAGTGTTGAGTAAATGAATCTCTTGACAAGAAAGCAATAATGTGTATCGTCTCTTATCCATACCCTGACCTATTCCTAAAATCCGATGTGTGTGTGCAATAAGGTAATCTATTGGGTAACAAAGCATTTCTCAAATGCAGAGGGATAATACTTATGCCAACTGTATACTTTTAGCAAGTATATAAAATGTTAGCCATGTACATTTAAATCATAAAAAGAAAATTAACTCTATGAATCAAGAGTTCAGAAAACATAGATGGCAGTATAGTTGGTAAGAAAGGGGATTCCCCTGAACACATATTCATGGATTTCTTAAAAGACATCAGTCACAACAATAGTGTAGCCTTAACTTGTTAAAAACAATATAAATAATTAAAAATGCTTTCATTGCCAGAGGCATACACCATATAAACTGACAACTCTTCCCAGTCCCTTCTCAAAACTAGCCATGAAATAGAAGGAAGGCCTAATTTCAGTTCATAAAGTTATTTCTACCCAGAGTATCTGAAAAAAAAAAAAAAGAACTAATACAATCTGTCTGAAAAGACTTTTAATCTTGCTAGTCACAATAGCTGGTTAGTTCCTAGAATCAAAGTCTTGACTAGAGTTCCCTTTCCCACCATGAACTGGGCAAAAACACATGGCCAAATAAAAAAGGTGCTAGAAAAAGGCCCTTGAGCCATATTAAACACAATGGAAATAACGTTTGAAAATAGTATCCTTCCCAGCTGGGTAAGAAATACAATGGCTCCAACCATCTGCTCTTTCTTCCTAAGATTCCTTTTACATAAATGAGCAGACTAACATTATTTATTCCATTCAAGAAACAAAATTCTAGGAGTTGACGATCACAATTTAAACCAGATTAAATTCAGACAGTAACAAGAGAAAAAGTGTACAAACTCCTAGACATATTCTGTAGGTTTCCTTTTTATATCATATTTTCTACATCTTTTTCCTCTTTTTATCTTTTTTAATTGCTATCCTTTCTGTAAGAAAATTCACCAAGAAGCTTCTTGAAAGAAAATATGTTTTAAATAAATTTTGAAAGGAATGATGATAGGCTCACATAAACCATCAGGGTGACCATAAGAGATAAGAAGAAAGCACAGGAGAAAAGAACTATTTATTCCATCAATAATTTTAAAAGATTTAAGTTGTCTGTTGACAAAGTTACAGTATTAATATTTAAACTGATTTGCTTCTGACTTTATAAATGTAACTAAAAAGAAAACCATAAGACAGAAATCCTCTTGATTCCACACATAAAATAGAAAGGTTATGAAGCTATTCCATGGTATTATTTTATACACTAAACCTCCAAATCCTATTATAGGACTGCACATAAAAACTGGGAGAGATATACCCTCTATAATTATTCTTTCAATGAACCCCTATAAAGTTCTCATGCAATTCTAGGGTTCTGGGAAACAACATGTAAAAACCATAGGAACAGTTGTCTATTCCCAACTGCAACTAATTTACTGTACTTCTTAGAATACTAAACTCTATCAAAATTTGGCAATCTTGCTTCCCAGGTATACCACCAAAGGACTGACGAGCAATAAAGCCATACTAAGCCTTACTTAAAAAGTTTTTGCACAAACTATCACATGCACTCCCTACATACTCTACCAAGAAAAATACTTACTTTGAAAGCTTTTAGCATCTGATTCAGTTTCACTGGATTATGAGTTCCTAGAAGGCATAACTATGTCTTTTTCATGTTGGATTCTCTACCTTCCTCAACCCTGTCCACTCATAGCTCTACATGTAGCAGATGCTAAAAAAAAGTGGCTGCTTTAAAAAAATTAGAAATAATCCAATATCCAGTAATAGAAGAATAGTTAAATTATGGTATTTTATATAATAAACCTTTAAAAATAATTGCTATATTTATATTTATGGACATTAAATATGCCTAAGATATGAATGAAAAATCCTATAATTTGTATGTACAGCTCAAGCCCATTTTTGCAAATACATATATATCGACCTGCAGGTATAGATAAATAAATGGTTTTCATTTATACATAAACAAAAATCTAAAACCTTCTCACCAAAATGCTAACAGTGGTTATCTGTGGGCAGTGGGATGTTGAGTGATTCTTACACTCCTGTTTACATACACCTTATATAGTATATGAAATTTTTAAATAATCAATATTAATCTCTCCCACAGATATCAAAACAATAAAGATATTGTCCAACTGGGGGGAAGGAAAGTCAACTAAATTTAACTTTCTATCCAACAACTATTCTTTTTTCCAAATCTCTGACATGACTTCAGCCCTGCTATCCCTTAGGTCCTTGCTCCTTTGTCACTTAATTTATCATTCTACCTTTTTGTCCTGCTTTTCTTTGTGTTTTCTTCACTCACTGTTTCACCCATGTCCAACAGTAGGGTAGAAAATTCACTATCTGGGCCAATGCCATTTGTTTTTATGTCCCTTCCATCTTTTATTCCTCATTTCCCACACTAAACCAAAATAAATGTTGACTATAATGAGGTAACACTACATACCCACCAGAATAATTAAAATTAAAAAGACTGATAATAAATAATATTGCCAAGGAGATAGAGCAATTGAAGAAACATAAAATGGTACAACTACTTAGCAAAAAGGTTCAATTCTGGGTCTCATAAAATTCTGACCCAGAATTTCATTGCTACGTATATTTACCCAAGAGAAATGAAATGTATGTCTACAAAAACACTTGTGTAAGGATGTTCATAGTAGCTTTATGTATAATAGCCAAAAACTGAACATCCTAGGTCTCCATCAATAGGAGAATGAATAAACAGTTAAAGTTCATACTAAAGTGTACTACTCCATTAATAAAAAGGAATGAACTACTAAAATATGTAACAACATAGAATCTCCAAATCATTATGCTGAGTGAAAGAAGCCGTACATAAAAGGGAATATACCATATGATTCCATTTATATGAAGTTCTACAATAGGCAAAACTAATCTACAGCAGAAAAAAATTAAAACAATGGTTACCTCTGAGGAGGTGAGAGGAGAGGACTGAGTGGAAAGCAGCATGAGAGAACTTTCTAGGTAATAGTAATGTTCTATATCTT